ATTTTTTTAATACACTTCTTTAGGGTTAAGTCCATAATAAGTAATAACATGACAATCTTGTTTATTATTCCTTCCGACGACATTATTTCTAATGATGGATATTTAAAGAAAACGCATAATATCTAAAAATTTAGAAAAGAATACTAAGAAAAATGGGTAAAAAATTCTACTCTACGTTCACAATTTACCTAATAAGATCTATAAAAATACAATTCATTAGACTGCATCAGTTATATACTTTTGTATGTAAAATTTGTTCATCTAATATATTATGCTTGTAAATTCCATTTGCGAATTTAGAAGAGAGGAATGATTTACAAAATATTTTCAATCGACATCTCTTTACCCTATAAGTAGACGTACAATATACTTGTAGGGATATTCTATATATAAAAATAAATCATTTTCAGTTTGACATTTTTAACATCCAACTTGACAATTTTAAGTTCCAACTTGATTGTTCTCAGTTACTAATATGCAAAGTAGTATTTAAATTCCCTAGGAACAAAGTTCAGGACAACTATTTTTTATCTATATGGTTTACTTTGGCAGTTGCTAGTAAAACTAATGTTAAAATGTTTATGGTCATCAACATTTATATATAGTCTTTAACATATATCAATTCGGATGTTGGAGGTCCTTCGAGAAATTAAATATCATATACATATATTCGTTATATTCTATTAAAATTTAAAAACAAGCATTTTTGTTTAGGGGCCAGCTTTTCTCGCTGTGTTGAAGACCCATTGGTGACCTTCGGCTGTTTTCTGCGCTTCGGTCGGGTTGTTATCTCTATGACACATTCCCCATTTCCATTCTCAATTTTATTTGCATTGCACATGATCATGTTGTTCTCTGACTGTTAATGACGCCTTTATACTCAATCCATTGGATGTTGAATGTGAACTGATTGACATTTTAGTCTAATACATAATACACATCCCTAATGTACAGTTGATCTAAGACGTGTTTGGTTATTTAGTGTAGCCCTTTTCGTATTTATGGTCTCAAACGTTATATATTTTTGCCTTCAGAATTTGTGTTCTCGAGCGTACCCGTTGAGGATTATTCATGTTGTGCACACGGAAATCATATCTTCAGTTACTAACTTAGATAATGGTTTGTAAAATCAAAGTATTTCAGCGTTCTGAATTAGCACCCTAGAATGTGCTTTTCTGGATTTTCTGTCTTAGTAAAAAATATTTTCAAAAGCAAACGATATGTAAATGTTTCTCGCTGCATTGAAGACCCATTGGTGGCCTTCGGCTGTTGTCTGCTCTATGATCGGGTTGTTGTCTCTTTGACACATTCCCCATTTCCATTCTCAATTTTATATCAGCAGTATTTAGTCAAGAAGAGTCCGAAAGGAATTTCTTTAACGTTCAGTTTGCCAGAGGATGTATGAATCGTTGTTTTTGATTAATTTTCTTAATTCATCTTCTGAGATTTTCTGCATGGAAAAAGGCATGCTTTGTGTCGAATGATTACTGGATGTATAATAGCCTCGGTAAGATCAGCAGTGGTACCGACCCAGTGACAGTGAATAAAAAATCGATTTAAGATTAATTTGATATCTTAAAATGAACATGGATTGCGTATTCACAAAAACCTCTATCAAAAAATTTCACAGTAAAACTTATTCTCCCTTTTCTTGCATCACCATTCATTGTATTAGAACAATCTTACAGTCAACTGCCTTCTACGTGATAAGGTTGTTTTTGTTATTCATGCACTATTCCATGTATATATATATTCATACATTAATTTACTTGTAATCTTAAATAAACAAAATTTTACGACATACATATAAATGACAAAGGGAAACATGGTTAGAGGTTTTTGTTGTTAATGCATTCTATTCATGGAGAGATAATAACATTTTAGCATTTTATTATATCGTCTTCCGGGCCCATTTCCGTTATTTGCAGCATCTAGCAAACATTTTATTTCGAATTATCAACATGCATGTTAGACACAGTTTTAAAGACAAACAATCAGGCATGCTAGAAATTAATTGATTAACAATTGTTGGTTTAACAAAGAATAGCTCATGTACTCTAATCATGCTTATTTCATGTTGATAAAACATAGGTAATATTTTAGCAACATAAACAGACAAATCACGAAACTTAATGTCTTTTATAGTTTGTGTTTCTTTTGTGTTAGTTTAAAATTGACGTTAAAGTTTTATCAGAAAAACTAAATTTGTTCACTGAAGATTTAAAAAAAACCTTAAGTTATATATTATCTAGATCTATTTCAGATTTAGTTACACACATAATGTACAAACCGTACTCTGGTTGCATGGTAACTTGTATAACTTTAATAGCGGTCATACGATTTTGGATTGTATTAACAATAAAGACTTCATTCGTAGAACAATTGTTTACAATCACATATGACGTGCTTCTTTCGTTTTGTAAACAAAGCCATGCTCGAAAACCAATAAAATTTATTTGCACATGCGTATGTTGACTACTGCAGAAAAAATAGATTTTATCAAATTGGCATGCATTTAATATATGTTATTAACTTAAAACACTTTCAAACTCTTAAATGACGCACATTTTGTTACTAATAAATAAACAACGACTACAATGTGTTACAATTCGCAATTGACATAATTGACCTAGATACGGCAACGTTCATGTTGGCTTTTCAAAACTCCTCCCTCTGAAAAACATATTTCATGGCGTCTGCTTGTTTACAGACAAAATGGCATACGCACGGACAATACGATTGCAATTTGGGCTAAAAGTATATCACAGAGGACAACTTTATAAGATTATAGACCACCACAGACAAGAACACTCTGTAGTTCAATATGTGATTCAATCTTTGTCACCTGGACAGACCAACAGGGTATTTAGCCATGAAATTTACAATGCATCTGTCAATTCAATGTTTAATCGCCTAACAGAAGAAATCATATTCCAGTTTGAGCATGAGAGTTCACAATCAGATGATGAACTATCATCCATAACTTTGACTAAAGATGTACCAGAAGCAGTGTTAGAACCAAAACCATCCACAAAAAATCCAAGGTTCAAAGAAAAGCCAAGCAGAGAGCACATATATATGTTGTCTCAAGCTAGAGTTGAACAGACTACTAAGCAACAAAAAAGGAATGCGCCTTTTCAGGGGTAAATAAAATTCAAATACACAACAATATACTTAATAAAAGATTTTTAAAATAACAATATAAATAAGAAGATGTGGTATGAGTGCCAAACATGTAAATTGACAAGTGACATGTGGACACAAATCAAAATAAAACCATGATAAATACAAATACGGGATACTTAAATCCCATTCTAATCAATCAAATTCAACTTATTCATTTAAATGCTGTTAAAAGGAAAGTGAAGTACAGGTAACTAAGACTGTAGTACTGAAATGGCAAAATTGCTACATAAATAATAAAATGGATTGACGCTAACAGGGAATCGAACACCATTCTCATATTAAAAAAAGGCGTTAGTACCAATATACCACCAATGTTTCTAATCCATTTACAAATGCAACAAGATCGTCACTCAGTTTATATTTTCATCGTCACGGAAAAAAAACCCATATTTTATGAACTGACAATGTATGCATGTTGTGTGTATACTACAACTAGACTATTCAGAAAGCTCAACATGTTGATGAAAATTGTGAATTTCAGACAATGAGCCAATGACGTAATAAATTTGTTAATCTTAATCCTCTGATGACACAAAAAATGACATGAATCAAATTCCATGGAAACATATTGTTGACCTCATAAATAAGGTTTTACACATCTACTTTAGCTGCCAGTATGTAAATAACAAGACAATACTTAATAAACACTAAATTGTACTTGTACAATGTACATGTATGCCGGTGATGTTTAAGGGGAAGACAAAATTGCCACATTATTCACATTAATAAGACCATTATTTTCTAATTTATTAGCTTACGTATTTCCGACCTGAATATGTTTGTGTATAAGTATTTTAAGTTGACAAAGTTTGAAAGTCACTTGTACATGTATCAACCTAATATTGAGCGAACATTAATTTTGAAGAGACCATTCAAACTGCAAAATATTATGATACCAATATACGGTTAAAAAGTTAAAGATTGATAATATTTTTTTTGAGATGAAGTCCACGGGTCGCCAAGAATAAAAATAAGCATGAAATTCCAAATTCATTTTTCTGAAAGTGCTGAAAAAATCTGGTCGGCAAATCTGTAAACTGATAAAATAAAGAATACTGGCCTAAAAACATCATATTCATTTCCGAATATGTAGTAGACAAAAAACAGATATGATGATAAATTTGAGGAACTTGAAAGCTCAACATTAAATGACAAATAATGCTATTTCTATCCAAGCCTGCAAACAAATAAAGAGACAGACTATTCGAAATCTGCATAGTTGGCATGCGAGCAGCAATATCGCGTCATCTTACCAGTCCACCATTTAATCGTAAATGTTAACTTGATGAACGATAACTCATACATGACGTCTAATCATGTAAAAACCTTAAACAAAGATGTTATGGTGCACAAAAAATCATGTAGCTGAAGGCGACATACAGCGGTAGTAATCAAGTGTTTTTTTTTAACACGGATACACCAGTTACAATTCAAAATAAAGTTTTCTGGGACCTGATGTTAAATTTTGGTAGACGAGGACAGGAGGGGCTAAAGAGCTTGAAAAAGTCATCTTTCGGTAAACTCACAGATGAAAAGGGTAACACTTACTACACAATGACCTATAACGAGGCCAATAAAACACACCACAAAGTAGATTCAGACAAGAGGTCCGTGTGTATTAAAAATGAGAAGATATTAACTGTCCAGTTGCAAGCTTGAATTTCTATTTATCTAAATTAATCAGTCCTAAATGTAATGCATTGTTTCAGCAGCCATTGCTTTATCCAAAACCAAAATATTGGTATGCTTATAAAGCAATTTGGAAAAAAACTAAATGAGAATGTAAAGATATGTTTCCGGAAATAACAAATAAGTGTATCAAAGCACTTTATTTGACTAAAAACATATTAAAAAGAGTAATTAAATCTGTTATCTGCCTTTGAAAGATTAAAAAGAACTGCAACTGAAAAAACAGAAGAAAAGCAAAGTACATATTAAAAACATGTCTGCAAGAAAACACTAAGTTTTTTTTTTATCGAGTTGGAATAATAGTTCATATAAAAGTACCACCAACACAACGAAATTACTTTGGTTTCAGATATAAGTCTTTGGTTAGCATATGATAGATGACGGCTGCGGATTTTGTCTTATCATATTCTTTGACACTTTCAGACTTTGCTACTAATTCTCGAGCCATTTTCCCACATACTCTGGTTAAAATCTGAAGAAAATCTTGTTCGTAGTTGGTATCTAATAATTTCTCAAATACGTGAAACAGACAGTACATGAGCCATCCTCCTTTACTTGGATCGGATATACCCAGTCTGCCTGTAAACAAATAATATATACAAAAATAGTAGATGTACATAAAAGCATGTAAATAAATTAGTGGGTACCCGAAGGGTCAAAACCAGCTATAAAATTCGCAGTGAAATCAACTTTAGTATCAAAAGTAAATATTTGATGACAAAATATGTGTAGCTATCTGACAAATACAACATAAACAAGTGAATCGACTATCATATTTTTGTAAAACATAAATTAAACCAATTTTTGTAAAGATTGAAAAGTAAACTAATTTGATGTACAGAAATGTGTCTTTATGCTTGGCACAGACTTTGCTTTTTGCAAAGATTACGCGTGATATGGGCACATTATGTAATCATGTTTAATAATATAAACTATGTTTGACATGGTGTTCATAAAAGATTAACATTAGTAAATTTTTACTTGCTATACATACCAGAGGAACAGGTAAACATAACCAAAAAATCCTCATCACATGGTATTTGGAAAACAGATTCTTCGTTCATATTCTCTGTAGATGAAACTGCATTGCATTTTGCAGATTTATCTTGAATATCAAATCCTTTGTCAATATCACTAGTCTTTGAAACACCACCAACACATCGACATGCCTATGAAAAAAAAATTTAGGAGGAAGATTTAATTCATTGTTGTCGCTATCTATGGTTAAAATGTTTAAGAAATTGACTGGTCGCAAAAGGGAAAAGGGAAAAGCTGAGCCTACCAGAATAATCAAAGAACATTTTTTTAATACACTTCTTTAGGGTTAAGTCCATAATAAGTAATAACATGACAATCTTGTTTATTATTCCTTCCGACGATATTATTTCTAATGATGGATATTTAAAGAAAACGCATAATATCTAAAAATTTAGAATAGAATACTAAGAAAAATGGGTAAAAAATTCTACTCTACGTTCACAATTTACCTAATAAGATCTATAAAAATACAATTCAATAGACTGCATCAGTTATATACTTTTGTATGTAAAATTTGTTCATCTAATATATTATGCTTGTAAATTCCATTTGCGAATTTAGAAGAGAGGAATGATTTACAAAATATTTTCAATCGACATCTCTTTACCCTATAAGTAGACGTACAATATACTTGTAGGGATATTCTATATATAAAAATAAATCATTTTCAGTTTGACATTTTTAACATCCAACTTGACAATTTTAAGTTCCAACTTGATTGTTCTCAGTTACTAATATGCAAAGTAGTATTTAAATTCCCTAGGAACAAAGTTCAGGACAACTATTTTTTATCTATATGGTTTACTTTGGCAGTTGCTAGTAAAACTAATGTTAAAATGTTTATGGTCATCAACATTTATATATAGTCTTTAACATATATCAATTCGGATGTTGGAGGTCCTTCGAGAAATTAAATATCATATACATATATTCGTTATATTCTATTAAAATTTAAAAACAAGCATTTTTGTTTAGGGGCCAGCTTTTCTCGCTGTGTTGAAGACCCATTGGTGGCCTTCGGCTGTTTTCTGCGCTTCGGTCGGGTTGTTATCTCTATGACACATTCCCCATTTCCATTCTCAATTTTATTTGCATTGCACATGATCATGTTGTTCTCTGACTGTTAATGACGCCTTTATACTCAATCCATTGGATGTTGAATGTGAACTGATTGACATTTTAGTCTTAGACACATGCTTTTGTATTATTTGTTATTTGGCTTTGAACTAGCTCTCAGTATTTGCAAGTACTCTGAGATATGTAATTTGTGTTTTTTTGTGAGGGTTTTAATGTGCTTTGTATCGATCTGACGAGTTTAGCCCTTTCCATTGAGTTTTATAGTTTGTTCTTATGTTGTTCTGTTACACCACTGTCCCGGTTTAGGGGAGGGTTTGACGACAGCAAACATGTTAAATCCCGGCACTTTCTGTATGTGTCTGTCTCAAGTCAGGAGCCTGTAATGTCGAGGTTGTCGTTTGTTGTTATATATTATGTTTGTTTTTCGTGTATTGTTTTGTACATAATTCAGGCCGTGAGTTTTCTATAGTGTGAATTGTTTTACATTTGTCAATTCGGGGCCTTTTATAGCTTACTATGCGGTATTGGATTTGCTCATTGTTGAAGGCTGTAAAGTGACCTCTAGTCTTTAACTCCTATGTCATTTGGTCTCTGCTGGAGAGTTGTCTCATTGGCAATCATACCACATCTTCTTGTTTTTATATTTAACCAATTATTTAAAGTTTCTGAATAATTTTAATATCCTATCTGTATCTGTAATATTATGGAATATATGAATAGCCTATCATAAGCAATAAGTCTTATTAAACATTGAATTAGCTACATCAGTATAAACGTTTGAGACAAAAGTCCAATATATGAGCCTTGGGTTACACCCACATTCAATGTTCCAAGTGTTGACTCTGAATTTTTAGAAGAATGTTCTGTCTTTAGTTTTCTTTGTTGTGTTTTGTATACTGTCTTTTTGGTCTTTTTCTTTTTCCGAAATTAAATTAGTTTTTTTGAATAAAGGAAATAGGACGATAATTTTGAAAATAAGCTGTAGAATTCACCATTATCCAGAGGGGGCGGGCCCTTTCCTATAACATGGATATTTCGAAGTTCTCAGTGAACAGTTGTTCATATATGTCTATTTGCAATATAGTTTAACATTTGTTGGCGTATTTAATCTTTGACGAGTGCTTCAGCAAATTGCAGGATTCTTCCTCTGTTTTTTTTCATCAAAATATAAATCTAGACGTAAAATACCATCATCCGAAGAAGTAGATAAATTATAAAAAAAATAGAAATTAGCATATCTTCATATTATTGAACGCCACAGCTGTCTTATGTGGAACTCTGATATAACGTTATGTTGTTTTATTATTACTTGATGATATTTTGTCTTCACATAATATGGTTTTGACATTACGTAATGATGTTTTGATATAACTCAATATGGAATAGTCATTACTTAATGATATTTCGATATTACACGATATGGTTTCGTATTGACTTGATATAGTTATGTCATTACTTAATATGGTTTTGTCATTACTCAATGTGGTTTCACCATTATTTGATGTTGTTGTGTCATTAGGCAATGTGGTTGTAACATTACTTGATGTGTATGTGACGTAACGTTATGTATTTGTTTCATTAAATGATTTGGTTTTATTATTTCGTAATGATGATTTGCCAATTCTTTATATGGCTTTAACATTACGTAATGATGTTTCAAAATTTGACGATTTTACACTTCATGATGTGTTTGTTTCAGTATTTGATGTGGTCCTATCATTCTTTGATGTGGTTATCACATTACTTGATGAGGTAAAAACACGTGACCAATTTGGAAAAACTAGTTCTATTTTTAAATAGATTTCCATGTTTCATGTGCCTTGGATGAGTGTGGCCATCCATCGAGTTAGAGATTAAATAAAGGTTTGGGTTACTGTTCGAGTTAAACTTTGCGTTAGTCTTCGATTTCGAGTTAGAATTCAAGCCATTATTAGAATTAAAGTTCTAGTTAGCATTGAGTTTCGAGTTGAACTTCGAGTTTGAGTCACATTTAAAGGTAGAGTTCTAGTTACAATTCGACTTCAACTTTGAATTTGAGTCACCTTTTGAGGTAGAATTTGAGTTAGACTCGAATTTGAGTCTCATATAGATTACGATTTCGAGTTGAAATTCGAGTTATCTAATATGAGTTTGTATTTAAATTTTTTATTGCGGATCAAGGGCTTTTGCTCGTGCTTTCGAAAAGAGGGCTCAGGGTTATGCGTACAACAGATAATTATAAACAATGTTACAGTATACAAAACACAACATAGAAATTGAAATAAAGTTAGATGTGGTGTGATTGCCAATGAGACAACTATCCATCAGAGTTTAAATGCAGTGGATGTAAGCAATCATAGGCAACCGTACAGCCTTCAACACACCGTATAGTAGGCTACAAAAGGCCACCACGTGAAAATGTGAAACAGTTCAAACGAGAAAACTAACGGTCTAATTTATAACTAAACAATCAACGAAATACAAATGTGAAACACATGAAACAACGACAACCATTGAACTACAGGCTCCTGACTTGGGGCAGGCACATAAAGAAAGTGCACGTGGCGGACTGTAGTGTAACAGCACAGCATAAGAAATAAATGTAAAAAAACAGTTTCAATTGGCTTAAATAAATAGATCGGTATGAATGGGTAATATAAATTCATCGGGATGATCTCGGGTGCTCCGGAAGGCACGTGTGGCACCCGTCGTGTTATTCGTGAAGGTAAAAACCCAGTGATTTGGTTTTATTTGGTAGTTCACATTCGAGGAAAAGATGACGGGATTGTGGTACGACAACTGGAACATATCCGTCGTCATCTGTGAAACAGATATTCAAAAAAGTTTGTTTTTTTCAATTAGTGGGAGGTATATCAGACAATGCAATTTATAAAAATAAAAGATCGATATTAGTATATGTTCAAATGATCATACACGCTAAAAAAATCGGAGAATTCTTATTTTATAGATTTGATGCTTTGTCGCTTAGTCCGATCCCCCCCATTTCCCTGTAACTTTAGTGTGAGTTTATTTAAAGTGTCTCATTTGTTGACAATAAAGTAAAAGTCTTTTGATTTGTGTCGAGCCTCCGACATTAATGTAGCGGCAGTGAGACACACCAAACCTATATTCCGTCGTCGGTAGTGGCGTCAGCGTCTTAATCATTTAGATTGTTAGGTTTCTCGTTTGGATTGTTTTTACATTATTCATTTCGGGACCGTTTATAGCTTACTATATGGTATGGGTTTTGCTCATTGTTGAAGACCATACAGTCATATATAGTTGGTAACTTCTACGTCATTTGGTTTGTTGTTGAGAGTTTTCCTATTGGCAATCATACCACATTTTCTTATTTTCATATATATTTTTTTTGCATTAAATATTCCGATTTAAACTGTTTTGACATGATAAATTTGTAAAACTCCATGAATTGTTATAAAACTTGTATAGGAGTTATTCTTCAAGATCAAGATAAAGCATCTACAGAAAAATATTTTTTTTAAATTTTGTTTTTACCAATAAATGTACCGATAAATGCAACATTACGCTTTTACACTGACAGCAGCAATATCAGGCGAAACACAGGGTTCCGTGGGATCTTTTACGAATTTATTATCATACTGCTTCCATTTGAGAACTAGGGGAAAAACGGCAGGAACAAGTGGTTTGGGGATATTCCCCTTATGTCCGAAATGCTGTTAATTTTTTAGTACTTTTTTTGTTAGTTTTGTCTGCCGTTCCCCTTTTTCATACCAAATGACTCTGAACAACAACTCGAACTTTAATTTGAACTTTAACTCAATGGATAGCGATACTCATCCAAAGCACATTAAACAAATGACATATGGAAATAGGTTTAAAAATAGAACATATTTTTTTCCGAAATGGTCACGTGGTTTTACCTCATCAAGTAATGTGATAACCACATCAAAAATGACAGGACCACATCAAATACTGAAACAAACACATCATGTAGTATAAGATTGTCAAATTTTGAAATATCATTACGAAATAATAAAACCACATCATGTAATGAAACAAATACATTACGTTAAGTCACATAGACATCAAGTTATGTCAAAACCGCACTGCCTAATGACACAAACACATTAAATAATGGTGAAACCACATCGAGTAATGACAAAACCATATTACGTAATGACAAAACTATATCAAGTCAATACGAAACCATATCGTATAATATCGAAATATCATTAAGTAATGACTATTCCATATTGAGTTATATCAAACCATCATTACGTATTGTCAAAACCATATTATGTGAAGACAAAATATCATCAAGTAATGTTAAAAACAACATAACATATATCAGAGTTCCACTTAAGACAGCTGTGGCGTCCCATTATCTGCCTTTTATTTTTTACTAATAGTATTTTGTTGGTTGTTCCTCTAAAAAGATCCATAGAGTTAAGAAAAAAACTTCTTTGTATAAATGATCAAGTTATTTATCTTATTACAGTAAATGTGTAATTCAATCAAACATGTACGATGCCGATTTTCGCATTTTTATTAAGTCAATCACTAAGTGGTATCAGTTATCGAATTTAAGAAACTAAACCACGTTTTAGTTAAATTATCGAATTGTGACAATATAAGTAAGTATTGATATGTTGGCCAAATCTATATATTTTCTCTTTTCATGGCCAAGTCAAATAGCTGCATTAATGTTTGATATAATAAACATTAAAATATGACATACCTGAATAAAAAACATTTTAGGCTTTCCAACTAAATTTTTACATTCATCGTCACCAAAGTTGTGTAGTATATCTTCTGTCAACACAGTGCTGTCCTTAGTAAAAATTACGTGTTGTCTCTCGTTGTTACGTGTGGGAATTTCACAACCATGTGAGCTGATTATACACGTCATACAGTCATGATCCCTGCCTATTGAATTTCTTATAACTATCAAAAGAAAAGAATAATTAAAAGCTACAAGGATACTTGTTTTATTTTACAAATTGCAAGAGTAACCTTAAAAATATGTAAATGCACATCTGATTACCTTCTAACTTTAATACTTTATTTATGACAACACCAAACATTCCAAAAGAGAATGCATGCATAAAATACAATTCTTTATCAAGTGTACACTCCTGTGTTACTGCATTCAGAAAACTCCTGTACCAATTCAAAAATACGACAGTTATTTTTCATTCGTTCAGTTGGTTGATATAAGCGAGCGTTTGATTTATTCAGGTTTTATGGACCTCCCCCTTTTCAATTTACCCTGGACTTTAGAATTTTTGTTAATATGTGTACCTTTTCACATACGAAACCAAAGCTCTTCTCGGAAACCGGACTTGCAGTACAAATAATGATCAAGTTGTCTACCTAAATGTTCGGTCAAAGTCGGTCATATGAATGCTTATATATTCGGTTTCAGAAATCAAATAAATATCCTTGGTACAGTTATGATAATTCAATTTAAAAGTCCACAAACTTGCTGATATTGCATTGTTTGGTATATTCTTAGGGTATCTGAATGGAAAATGTTTGCTGTAGAGTTGTCACATAATAAGACGCACAAGACTATAATATATTGATGCTATTATATGCCAAGTATTTAGATTCTTTTTGGCAGTAACAAAACCTGATCTGCAAGGTATTCCATCTGTATGACTCTATGCAATTTGCACGTCAATGTGTACTGTGTATGAAGTCGACAAGGAAAATAATCACTCGACTAAGAATTGTGTCGATAGGTATAGGGAACTTGACATAGTGCATGCGGATGTGCCATGAAGTCACAGAAACATAATTCTAATCCCAAATGAAGGAATGGAAAGAAGCTACAACAAATTTGTAGATCAAGGATTATTTGGGTAAAATACAGACTAAGTTTGTTTTTGTTTTTGTTTATGTGTCTTTTTGATCGAGTTAAGCCATTTCAATTGATATTTTATTGTGTGTCTTTTTATGTTGTAATGTTACACTACTGTTTCAGGTTATGGTGAAGATTGGTGCCTGATAAAACGTTTAAACCCGCTGCATTTGTATGCAACTGTCCTAAGTCAGGAGCCTGTTGTTCAGTGGTTTTCGTTTGTTGCATTGATGTGGTTCATAAGTGTTTCTCGTTTCTCGTTTTTTATAATATAGATTAGACCGTTGGTTTTCCTGTTTGAATTTTTACACTAGTCATTTTGGGGCTCTTTATAGCATGCTGTTCGGTGTGAGCCAAGGCTTCGTGTTGAAGGCCGTCCTCTCAGATCTGTACTTAGTGTCTTTTTGTTGTTTGGATGTACAAGTACCCGGCCACGTCCACTTGTAATTGTAGTATTCGTTCTTATGTTGTACTGTTACACCACTGTCCCAGGTTAGGGGGAGGGTTGGGATACCGCTAACCTGTTTAACCCCGCCAAATTCTGTATGTATGTGCCTGTCCCAAGTCAGGAGCCTGTAATTCAGTGGTTGTCGTTTGTTTCGGTTACATATTTGTTTTTCGTTAATTTTTTGGACATACATTAGGCCGTTAGTTTTCTCGTTTGAATTGTTTTACATTGTCATTTCGGGGCCTTTTATAGCTGACTGTGCGGTATGGGCTTTGCTCATTGTTGAAGGCCGTACGGTGACCTATAGTTGTTAATTTCTGTGTCATTTGGTCTCTTGTTGAGAGTTGTCTCATTGGCAATCATACCACATCTTCTTTTTTTATATTTGACCTATAATTGTTTACGTTTTACACATTGTGACTTGGATGGATAGTTGTATCATTTGCACTCATACCACATCTTCTTATTTATAAGTATATGTTTTATGTAGTGTTAGTCCTGTGTAATAGTGTTTATATATCTCAATGTATACGTTACGTTCGAGAATGTTAACACTATAAAGACTTCATCAAATCTGGTTTGTTGATTGTGTCCTTTTTCCGATTGTGACGTTTTCACGGTTTATGGATTTGCATGGTGGGTGATTCATGCATGCGAGTATCTCAGATCTATACTTTGTGTCTTTAGTGTTTTTGTCAGTTGTTTGTTTTGCTTTGTATCGATCTTACGAGTCCAGACCTTTTCAACTGTTTTTTTATAGTTTGTTCGTATGTTGTGAAGTTACAGTCATAGGTGGTCATAGCACCTTGTAAGATTTACACAAATGAATGATTATATATTCGGTATGAATTATCAAATAAATATCCTCATAAAGATGTAAGTATAACACTAAGAGCAATACCCAGTTTAGGGAGAGTGCTGGACGCCCTCGGACATGTTTAACCCCGTCACATTCTTTATCTGCCTGTCCTAAGTTAAGAGCCTGTAATTCAGTGGTTGTCGTTTGTTGTTGTATATTAGATTTGTTTTACGTTCATTGTTTTGTAAATAAATCAGGCCGTTAAGTTTCTTGTTTCTTGTTTGAATTGTGTTACATTTGTCATTACGGGGCCTTTTATATCTAGCTATACGGTATAGCTTTTGCTCATTGTTGAAGGTCGTACGTTGACCAATAGTTGTTTACTTCAATGTCGCTTGGTCTCTGGCTGAGAGTTGTCTCATTGGCAATCATATCACATCTTCTTATTTTCATAGTTCAGGAGATTAAAATTGACCCCATCCTAAACTCCGAAACATACAATTGTACCAAAACAAAAACACAAAAGACTAACAAAGGCAGAGGATTCTGACTTGGCACAGGCGCAAAAATGCGGCGGGGTTAAACATATTTTGTGAAATCTAAACCCCCCCCTATACATCTAGCCAATGTGGAATAAGCAAAAACACAGCAATACATATAGTAAAACACAGTTTAAAAGAAGTCTGAGTCCAATGTTAGAAGAAGTAACAGTAGAAACCAAGCATAATAACAATGATCAACATAAATTATTAAAGTACTTCTAGTAGTTACTGACATGTCACCTCCAGACCTCAATAAACTGATCAAAAACTTATGTCTTCATCATATGAAAATCGAACACAATTCCTCCCGTTAGGGAGTACCATGCCATCATAAAATATACGAGGAAAACATAACCCGTATCATGCCAACAACTGGTTTTAGAATAAATGTGTTTATTTCCGATGCAAAGACCCTATGAGTATATCAACACGACCCCGCCATCTCAGGTGCTCCGGAAGAGTAAACAGATCCTGACCTACATGTGACACCCGCTTTGTTGCTCATGCTGTACAAATCCGGTGGTAAGTCTTATTCGGTAGGTCACATTCGGAGAAAAGGGAACGGGATTGTAGTTACGACAATTGGAACATATCCGTTATCATCTGTGAAACGGATATTCCATAACGGTCAACCAACTCGTGATGAGGTCCATAAAATTGACGAATGAATGATTTTAACTTTACCACTTGGAACTCTTGGTTTAATAGCTTCCTCGTGAGCAGCAACCCTCTATCAAGAATATCATGATAGGAAATACAAGCACTGGAATATCGTATCAACTGGGAGATATATACTCCGTATGCAGGCGCTGCTGGAATTTGCTACATAGAAATGGAAAGTTTACAATTGTGAAGCTGAAATCATCTCTTTTGTCGTAAATTTTGTTTTCATCCTATCCTCATTGTTTATTTCTAGATGTAAGTCAAGAGATGAGACAGACTGTCGTCATTCACCATAAAATTGTCACAAAATTAGACAAATATATAGATGTCACTGCATAGTGAATATAATTATCATTTACAACGGACAGATAACGGCTGATCTGCTCGTTATACCGTTAAAATAGCATCATACATCATGTATTGTGTTATAACCGTAAATAAGACCGAGTTGGGAAGGGCATTTCTCGACAATTGAGAGTTATATTTTATATAGCCTACCTGATCAATTAGTTGAAGGGCACAGGACGCTGATCATACGGATGAGCCACAATCTCACAGCAGTACGATTTCGAATCCTGCTGATGAACATATAAAACTCATCAATGATATTTTGCTTATACTATGCATTAAATGCTTGATTTTGTTTATTAAATCAACCTATCAATAGTTTTGATAACTCAACAAATTTTAACTTTTAAACAAAGTAATGGTTGAATAAGGCAAGATAAGAGAGGCCATAAATCAGACATCAACAACAATGCAAGCGACATTCTTTACTAGCATTTTAACCAGCATGATCATTCAATTCTTTCTATGTGAATTAGGTATTGACAATTCACTTGGAAACCCAACATATACACAAACGACAATTAGCAAGGAGGAAATTCTGGATTATTTAATTTATATGAGGCTTACTTCATTCAGGAACTTCTTAAGAAGACAAAAATTAGAAAGAAGCTAGCAGTATCCTTTAACCTTACTTTCCGCTATATAGATGATGTTCTATCACTAAATAATTCAAAATTTTGTGACTATGTTGAACGCATCTATCCCATCGAACTTGATATAAAGGATACAACAGATACAGTTAAGTCGGCCTCATACCTTAACCTACATCTAGAAATTGAAAATGTGGGTCGCTTTAAAACAAAGCTTTACTACAAAAGAGATGATTTCAGCTTCCCAATTGTGAACTTTCTATTTCTATGTAGCAACATTCCAGCAGCGCCTGCATACGGAGTATATATCTCCCAGATGATACGATATTCCAGCGCTTGTCTTTCCTATAATGATTTCCTTGATAGAGGGTTGCTGCTCACGAGGAAGCTATTAAACCAAGAGTTCCAAGTGGTAAAGTTAAAATCATTCATTCGTCAATTTTATGGACCTCATCACGAGTTGGTTGACCGTTATGGAATATCCGTTTCACAGATGATAACGGATATGTTCCAATTGTCGTAACTACAATCCCGTTCCCTTTTCTCCGAATGTGACCTACCGAATAAGACTTACCACCGGATTTGTACTAGCATGAGCAACACGGTGAGTGCCAAATGTAGATCAGGATCTGTTTACCCTTCCGGAGCACCTGAGATGGCGGGGTCGTGTTGTTCATTCTTTAGTTTTCTTTGTTGTGTTTTGTGTACTGTTGTTTGTCCGATGGCCATGGCGTTGTCAGTTCATTTTCGACTTATGAGATTGAATGTCCCTTTAGTCTCTCTAAGCAAGTTTTGCTAGACAAAAGTATCTGAAACTAAATTGATATGAGTCCGTATCAACAACAGTTAAGATAGGGTCAGGTAGTTTTTATGTATTTGATTAAATGATATACCTTTCAGGTTTTGGAGCAGTTCCTCGCTAGAATTATTTTCTAACATCTTTATCTCAAATCCTAGTTGCTCGAACAGTTTCTTCATATTCTTACAGTCTAGGTCAGCAAATGGACGCTCGCTTTGCGCATCAAACTTACAATTAATTATGAATATGGCATATCCAATCTTACGACCGGTGAATTGGTAGCTATTACTGTTTCTCGTGTCTGATGAAAATCTAGTGGTGTTTAAGTGTGCGTTTAGTTCCCTTTGCCTTGATGAAAAGCCGTAATTGTCGTTAAATTCTCCGGACGGGATTGAGGACCTGATGTAATCCTCATTTGTCCCAGAGATACTCTCTGGTTTTACTATGAAAGCCTGTTTCATTCTACAATAGAAATTGTCAAAAGTATATCATTAGGAGCAATATCTAGTTATGATACAGCTGATAGATATTTTTAATGATAATTATTATGTAACGTGTAGTGGAATAATGTAAGATAACCCACATAAAGGGCAATTGACCTAGAAAAAAAGTTTCATCCTTTCCTCCCGAATTATGTTTTTCTATAAATGACAAATGAAAATTGGTGCAAATGTTTTTTTTTACACTATCAAAGATGCGCCAGACGCTCGGTTTGTCTCATAATACTCACCAATGCTACTCTAATAACAAACAAAATAGAAGGCAAAACCAAACACGAAGTCGAAGAGCATTGCAAGCCAAACAATTTCCAAAATACAGCTAAGACCATCTTTGCCTGGCAGTATCGAATAATTCCAATTTTTATACAAAATATCTACAGAAAAAAAATTATCATTGATATTTCATGTCAACACAAAGTGCTTGCTACTGGGGTCGTGATATCATCAGGAACATAATGTCCAACCCCGTGGCATTAAATATTGACTCAGGGGTTGTAAAAACTCCTCAAAGATACCATGCTTATGGGTTTTACTCATTGTTGACGGCCGTACGGTTGCCTATGATTGTTTACATCCACTTCATTTGAACTTTGGTGGATAGGTGTCTCATTGGCAATCCTACCACATCTCCTTATTTTTATATTATAATTTGTTACGTTATTTTCAAGCAACAGTAAAATTATTAGTGACATTCGCAGCCTTCGGCTAAATATTAAGTACGATTTTGATAGGTTTGATCCAGTTCCAAATAAAGAATATTATTACACAAATGGTAAAATTATTTAATGACATTATTCCCATACATGAAATAATCAAAATTAAAATTTTTCTTTTTTTCAAAAACTTGATTTGCCGATTATTTTTCATATGATCTGTTGGAATGTTGCTACATATAATTAGAAAATTCGCCAAATGGATGCGGAAATCATCACGTTAGTCGTAAATTTTGTTCTCTCAACCGATCCTCATTGTCAATTTCGAGATGAAAGTTAATATAATAGGCAGACTGTCCCAGCATAGGGGAAGGGTTGAACACTGACAAACATGTTTAACTCCGCCACATTCTTTATGAGTCTGTCCCAAGTCAGGACCTATAGTTCTGTGGTTGTCATTGCGCAGATATAACATATTTGTTTTAACGTAAATTGTGTTGTTATTTACTAGACCGTCAGTTTTCTCGTTTGAATTTTTTCTACATTTTTCATGTGGCCTTTTATAGCCGATTATACGTTATGAGTTTTTCTCATTGTTGAAGTTCGTACGGCGGCCTATGATTGCTTATATCCACATCATTTGAACTCATTGGCAATCATACCACATCTCCTTATTTTTATATTAAAAGTATCTATTGTATCCTTTATTTCAAATCTGATGGAATAGATGCGTTTGATTCTGAATTGTTTAGTGAGAGGACACCATCTATATAGCTCAACGTGGAGTTAAAGAAAAAGGCAAACTTCATTATATTCTTCCTTAGAAGCTGTAATGTTCAAACTTACTCTACCCATCGTGCGGTGCTTACATATCTAAATTGATACCTAACGCTGGTGCATGTTTACACTGTACAGACCTCAATAGCAGAGGTGTGCTCAATATACAAAAACTGGTAGAACAGAGAAATGTAAAAGAACGATTGAAATCGACACTACCAGAGTTTTATCGTCACCATCGGAAATTGGCTGACCAAAACGATTTGTCTGTGTCTAAATTCACTAGTGACATGTTTTTTGCAGTTTTAAATCTTAAGATACAAGAATAGATCTGTAATTTTATCGATTTTTTCCTATTGCGAATGTGACATTTAGAATGAGTATGGATTCGCATGCCGGGTGATACAAGCACGGCAAGGGACGTTTACCCGTCTTGCTCTGTTATGAGTTCATGCTATTCACTCAGTTTTTGTTTGTTACCTTGATTTGTCTTTATCGACTTATGTGATTTGAACATCGTAAACAACCGGTGCCCTTATTTACCAACGGCATTAATCACCTAATTGCGTTAACTTCTAACATAAAATTTCTGATTAGGCAGAAAAAAAATGTGTTATACAGATTTACTTATCTTCTTATGAAATTAAATGTATGATGCAACATTGTTATATGCTTTGAAAACGTCATTTACCTTCTAACAAGCTTCATTATACTGGAATCGTCGAACTGGCTTTCTGTAAAAACAGATGATATATGGTTAACATTTTGATTAAAAAAAAACTTTAACAAAGTATGTTTGCATCATATCCTATGGGATTAACTTATTGTTGAGGGTCGTATGGTGGTTTATGATTGTGTAAATTCCTAGCGGATTGTTGTCTCATTAGCAATCATACCACGTTTTCTGATTTTTGTATTACATTTCCTATATCCTACCTTCTATATATTTCAATAGAATTCTGCGGTGTCACATGCTGACTGTGTGTACTAGTATCTTGAAAATACACGACGATACAAGAGTTATCGTTCATGTGATTCTACGATATAAGATATGTAAAATATTCAAAGTTAGTAAATGTATTCATCATAGATACAGATACTCATGTTTTTTTTTCAAAGTAACAGACAGTATGTATGATATAAATATTACATAGTCCATCAGTGGCCTAAAATTTTATATATACGCTCAAAAGTTTAATATCGGGACTCGACATGAGCTCTCATCCAATATACAATTTACTGACCGTGTATATGTTACAGGGAATTTGTAAAATCAGGGATTTTGTAAAATCACTGAAATTTCAGGGAATTTGTAAAATCACTGAACTGATTAGTGATTTTATAAAATCCCTGATTTTGACCAGTGATTTTACAAAATCCCTGAAATAATTAAGATCTGTTTTACAGATTCACTGATTGTTTTCAGGGAATTTGTAAAAATAATTTCATTCTTATTGATTGAAAATTTCTGTGAAAAAAGCCTACAGCAGTAACACTCAATAAGTTTGAGGTTAATCTGGCCTTTATTTTAATACTAAGTGAGCAGTTTTCATGCACTAAACAACTGACATACTGTAGAAAAATGTCTCAGGCATAGATGTCTTTAAATCAAGAGCAAACATACACACAAAAGTTACTCCAAATAGTTGAGGGAAAATTAAAGTGCAACATATGGAACCGGGAAAAATATGATGAAATTTTGGAACTTATTGTCAAAGAGCCACAGAAAGAAGACAAAACAAACTCTTATTGCTACCTAGTTAGAAAGTAAGTTACTGTTTATTATAGTTTTTTCTGTAATTACTGTAAAAATAAAGTAAAAAAAATATTTCATTTTTTTATGATAATCAAATATAAAATTTTAAACGGAAGATTAGGTTGATTGCTGTCATAAGAGAAGAAAAACACATATGTAAGGAATAAGAAATTGAGTGGGTTTGGTTATTTGATCAAGTGGCAAATATTACAGTCATGCCTATCAGGGCAAGAGCATCTTATTGTGACATGAAAATTGATATATAAAAAGCAAATAAGTGTTGTATTATTTATTTGCTGACTAGAAAATAACATTTATATTCACAAAATGGTTATTTGATCCAGTGGCAAATATTACAGTCATGCCTATCAGGGCAAGAGCACCTTATTGTGACATGAAAATTGATATATAAAAAGCAAATAAGTGTTGTATTATTTATTTGCTGACTAGAAAATAACATTTATATTCACAAAATGGTTATTTGATCAAGTGGCAAATATTACAGTCATGCCTATCAGGGCAAGAGCATCTTATTGTGACATGAAAATTGATATATAAAAAGCAAATAAGTGTTGTATTATTTATTTGCTGACTAGAAAATAACATTTATATTCACAAAATGGTTATTTGATCCAGTGGCAAATATTACAGTCATGCCTATCAGGGCAAGAGCATCTTATTGTGACATGAAAATTGATATATAAAAAGCAAATAAGTGTTGTATTATTTATTTGCTGACTAGAAAATAACATTTATATTCACAAAATGGTTATTTGATCCAGTGGCAAATATTACATTCATGCCTATCAGGGCAAGAGCATCTTATTGTGACATGAAAATTGATATATAAAAAGCAAATAAGTGTTGTATTATTTATTTGCTGACTAGAAAATAACATTTATATTCACAAAATGGTTATTTGATCCAGTGGCAAATATTACATTCATGCCTATCAGGGCAAGAGCATCTTATTTTGACATGAAAATTGATATATAAAAAGCAAATAAGTGTTGTATTATTTATTTGCTGACTAGAAAATAACATTTATATTCACAAAATGATAATAAAAAAAGACAACAGAGAATATAGGTAAGAATACGTACTTGCATGTCAACGTTTTACTTACTTTGGTCATATCTCAAATACATGTATTCTATCACAAAGTGATAAAACTCTAAATAAATTTCTAAACTTTCTCATCTCTTTTAATCCAAATAAAAGTACAGTAAATATTTTGTTTAATGTAGGTATGAAGTTCTTCAATGTGGAGATGTGAAAAAAATCGTAAAAAACGGTATTCGTCAGATGAAGATGTAAAATATTATGTATGTCTTGAAGACATGTACAGCATAGTGCAGAAAATTCACATATCAATAGGTCATGGTGGTAGGGATAAAATGGTAAAGGAGGCAAATAGAAAGTATGCAAATGTTTCATACGAAGCTTTATAACTTTACAAGGAACTTTGCGAGGAATGCCAACTTAAAAAACGTAGAACTGCTAGTAAAGGCATTGTCGTTAAGCCTATAATAAGCAAAGAGTTCAACTCCCGAGGACAGGTTGATTTGATAGACATGCAATCATTTAAATACAATGACTATAGATTTTTAATGGTATACCAAGATCATTTAACAAAATTTGTAATTTTACGCCCACTTACATCAAAGCGTGCATATGAAGTAGCAATGCAAATACTTGATATCTTCCTACTTTTCGGAGCTCCAAACATCCTCCAAAGTGATAATGGTGCCGAATTCACTGCAAACATCATTAGTGAGCTTAAAAACTTATGGCCGGAATGTAAAATTGTTCATGGTAAACCTCGACACCCCCAGAGTCAGGGCAGCGTTGAGCGAGCTAATGCTGATGTCAAGGATATGGTTATCACATGGATGCGAGATAATCATTGTAAAGACTGGCCTGTCGGTGTCAAATTTGTACAGTTTGAGAAAAACAGAAGTCATCATTCAGGCATAAACAGAGCTCCCTACAAAGCTATGTTTGGGGTAGACGCAAGAGTTGGGCTAACATCATCCTCACTCCCTGATGAACTTATAGCTAAAATTGACAGCGAAAAACATTTGTCAGATTTAGCAAACATGGAGCTCAATATAAATACTGATGACGAAAACATATGTACAACTGATGATGAAGCAATGGAGATTTCTGAGCCACAACCTACTGAACCAAAAACTGACATGTGTGTTGTATGTGAAGCAACTGCATTGAATGCAACTTCTTTGTTCTTCTTGTAACAAAACTGTACATGCTTTATGTGGAAAATCTATCATAACAGAAGACTTTCAGTCAAAAGTAATTTGCTTTCTGTGTGATACAGAAACGGTCATTGAAAAAGAACGTGCAAACGCTTCCGAGTCAATGGTAAAACAAGCTAATCGTATGCTTAGTCGGTCTAATAGAGTTTTAGAAGAAGTAGACATTGGATGTAATATTATCATTCCTATCCCAGTCGTTGATCGCGGAAAAGGTGATCCCCGAAATATAATGGCTATTGTCCATGGAAAGTCAGAGAAAGGCTATCGTCTTGCTACCAAGCATGGTATTCTGTTAGGGTCATACACAAGAAACCAGTTTGAACCCACTGATTCCTTGTTTTTGAGTCCACCAGCTGTTTCAATTGAAAACTTTATATCTATTCGACAAGCTGTTAAACTGTCTTCCATTTGTGATGGACAAGGATTTTTAAAATGTCGATGTTCTGGAAAGAATAAATGTGAACAAAATAGGTGTGCCTGTAGAAAATCAGGACAATTATGTAATAGTATATGTCACCCAAACTTGTCATGCAAAAATAAGTAAATAGTGGTCTAAATATATGTTTATATGCCTTTAAGTCATTATCATTATATATTAGTTTTAGCTCATAGTATCTATTAAACAAATGCATTTCAAAATCATTAGTCTATTTTTATATTAAGAAAAACACATTTCTAATAGCAAGTTAAACTTGTAATCAGGGATTTTACAAAATACCTAGCTTTATTTTCAGTGATTTTGTAAACTCCCTAACAATTTCAGGGATTTTACAAAACCACTGAAACTGTTAGTGATTTTACAAAATCACTAATTAGTCCAGTGATTTTACAAAATCCTTGATTTTACAAATTCCCTGTAACATATATACCATATTAGGCAATTCTAGTCTGTGTCATATATATTATTATTTGTAGTACGAATTATTCTACCGGTTTGTCTATTATGAATAATAGAAAAAAAGCAGTAGGGGCCATTTAGACCATATTTGGCTACAATATTTGGTCACTCCATAGATAATCTTAAGATTTCACGAATCTTAATATGTTCAGTCAGTAAAAATAAGACATGTCATAAATGAAATGATTTTCTTCTGAATTTTCTGTCCATAGTTGGGGTTTAGGTTATGTGTTTTGTGCGATTTGGCAGTTTAATCATTTTATAGGGTCTACTCGTTCGGTCACGTTAATAAAACTAACTGTGTTTATCGATTGAAGAACATTAGAATTTGTAATGAGTAATGAAGGTGAACCAGATATCTCGTTGACAACCGTTTAAACGCTGTAAACCAACAGAGTAAAGAAAATGAGGCAATTATTGGTTCTAAAGTGACTCTGAGAAGCGTATCAGGGTGTTAACCAGTTGATGAAATCCCAGGTTAAGAAGTTTAAAACAGACGCTATCTATCAATGGAAATATGACAGTACTAAGATCCAATTTAACTTTAACGCTGAAAATCTCGAGGATCTTGTTCTGACATTATGGGCCATAGACAAAGAGAAAGAAGATTATGCACGAGATTTGTTATCATCTACCGAAGATAGAATGAATCATCGTAACAAGATCATTTAAACAGCTGACACCCCCCAGGGAGGTTGAGATATCGCTAGGCAATATGACGCTAATCCTGTTACAAGGGATTCTGAGGATAAAACGAAAATAATCCGAGCTGATAATAGATATGTTCACAAGAAAAAAGGGAAGGCTTAGTTAGGCCAACAATCAGTCTCTTTTAGGTTAGGCTCCAAATTTCGTTCCGCAGTACTTTCGTGGGCCTCAGCAACCTTTGTTCAACGGAATTCCCTTTTAACAAGGTTTCAATGCTGGAAAAATGCAGAAGGGACAATGCTCCTGTTGTAGGTCCTACACACACTACCGGTCAAGCTGTCCTTACGTCAACAGTAGTAAACCAGCCACCCAATCCAGACCTCAATCAATTTCTGAAAAATGAGTATTCTTTTCATTAACTTGAACTTTCACCTATAGATAATTATATTTATTATAATTTGACCAATGATTATTTTGAATATGAACTAGGTCAATCTGATATAATTTGTGAGATTAAACCTAGCAAAATCAATCAATTTTTGATAGATATTGGTGAGCCTAAATTTATGATAAATAATATACATGATAAAGGAGATGGTTATATTTTACTTTTCTATTCAAATCCAATATCGATTTGGTTGTCTAATAATTTATTTTCTTTGACAAATGTAGATTTTGTTAGATCGGCTAATACAGATTTAGTAGCTAGAGGTTTAATTGTAGAGACGTCAGATATTCCCTTTGTTGTTAGTCCATTAACTATTTCAGTTCAGTCAAACAGTAAAAGACGTTTAATATTAGATTTGAGAGAATTTAACAGACAATTATGGAAGCAGAGTGTACAATTGGAATTTATGCGTATTCCAAAACATTATATTCTTCCAATTCATATGGGTCAATATCCCTAATGCGCCCCAAAATGAGGTACTCAACTATGAATAGAAATAAAAAAAAACCTGTATGCAATGATGTTGGACATGATGCTCTTTAAGTTATTGACTGAGCTTAGCCATTTGTCCTTTTTTGAAGAGCAGAGGACTGTACAATAAAGATGTAAAAACTTTAGAGCTGTTAAATGTTTGTAAAGAACTGAATTTTCAGAGAATTTAACTGACTTTTCACTTGCTGAAGCGGCATCACGTAGGGCCTCTCGGGGTTGCCCAATTTTTTGAAAAAATTGATCTCACTTCATGCCTCGAAAATTTAACCACATTTTTGAAAATTTCTAAGCTTCGAAACAAGCTATCAGACATATCCAAGTTTACGATATGGACAGAGGAATGGACGAAAAGACTACCATTGTGGCCTACCTGAAATGAATTTACCATCTTCACCCATTTATGTTTAAGTATGACGTACATTCTGCAATCACCATGTCGATATTTTCCCGCCTCTTACTAAATATCTAGGATGTGCATGGGAATTTAACGGTGTTAAAATATTTCAAATATTAAAATTGAGAATGGAAATGGAGAATGTGTCAAAGAGACAACAACCCGACCATAGAGCAGACAACAGCCGAAGGCCACCAATGGGTCTTCAATGCAGCGAGAAACTCCCGCACCCGGAGGCGTCCTTCAGCTGGCCCCTAAACAAATATGTATACTAGTTCAGTGATAATGGACGTCATACTAAACTCCAAATTGTACACAAGAAACTAAAATTAAAAATGATACAAGACTAACAAAGGCCAGAGGCTCCTGACTTGGGACAGGCGCAAAAATGCGGCGGGGTTAAACATGTTTTTTGAGATCTCAACCCTCCCTCTATACCTCTAGCCAATGTAGAAAAAACAAACGTACAATAGTAGTATTGTTGTTCTCAGTACTGCTTGTTATATTTTTACTAAACTAACTTGACCACTGATTACAAAATAGAGAGGAGAAGGAAAGCAAAACATTGTTTTATTAGATGATGAACTTGTTGTACATGATGATGAGGAATTGTGTAGTCAAAAGAGAAATATTAAGTAGGGGCTTGTACCAAAGACCGAAAATTCTATCTGGACACCTACTAAAAGCCTCACTTTTTAGGCATCAACATTGATACAGATAAAGGAGTTTATAGTATTCCTGACAATGGTATTGATAAGATTATGAAAACAATTTCAGAAATTGACTTGTGCTTACCCAAAATAGTTTTTGGAAGTGAAATCTACATGAAGCCAATGTTAAACCTTTCAAGTAAGCTGTTTCTTGACAGTCTAATGTGCATAGTGACCCAAGCAATAAGGGTTACGGTGATTATATTGTGAAAAACCCATGTGGTATTGTTCACGGTACGTGGTTAGAATCTGAAATTCCACAAGGAAGGAGTTGACTGCATTGAAAAATTAATTTTTGTCGTTGATAAATTTTTGAACTGGCAAGAATATAAAATGGTTAACCGCCAACCAAAATGTTGTTAGTATTATAAGTAAAGGGAGCACTAAATCAATACTGCAAAAGTTAGCTTTAGACATGTTTAGCAACATATCAAACACAATGATGATATTAGATTCACATTGAGGGCGTAAACCCGAATCGGTGTATCGAATTTAAACCAAGATATTATTGTCACTGCAGAATGATAGTTTTCAATAATTTAGGAGGGTTTTTTTCAGCAATTTGAATATATGTTATTGAAAAGCATGATGTATGCAGGGTATCCACGACATCTTGGTGTAAATTTTGGTATTGTATGGATTACACGTACTGAGAATGAAAGAGTAGATTAACTTTTTTGGATTATTGATTTAGATTATTGGACTATTTCTGAATTTATATTTTAGATAGTTTAATCTCTTTGGGGACCTTATAAGATTGATTGGTTTACCTCTGATGACAGTTAAAATTGATTGTTTATTATTTTGGAATTTGTATTCATCAAGCGTTGACGCTTTATAGGTTTACTGCCGAGGAATCGATGGGTGGTTTGTTACACCTGTTTCTTTTATCCCACTCGCATTAGTGTATATGCGATAGTGTAAAGCTGTTGGTACTTAAATTACCTTACTGGCGCACTACCACTTATTGACCAATGCTCTGTCCTTATGGTGACGATTTCATTTCTGAGGTGTCAAATTTTATAGATCTTCCTACTTACAAAAATGCTTCTA